ACAATGTTGTGAGTGACAGGATAATATCTATATGCATACAAGGAAGACCTGTTAATACCACCATTGCACCGTTGTTCAAATATATGCACCAACAAACAGAGCCAAAGTGGAGGAAATAGAGCACTTCTTTTAATTTTTGCAGTTGGAAATCAATCAAACATGCAACCAAGATTCATGAATAGTAATGAGTGACTGTAATGCAAAAGTTGGAAAAGTTGGATCAGTAGTCAGAAAACATGGATATGGTGACAGAAATGAGGCTAGAGATAGAATGATAGAATTTTGTACAATGATTTATTCATTTTAAATACCTTTTATAAGAAACACAAACAGTGACTATACACATGGACTTCACCTAATGGTCTACACAAGAATCAGATTGATTACATCTGTGGAAAAATAAGCATTGGAGAAGATCAAGATCAGCTGTGAAAACTCGGCCAGTTGCTGATTGTGGAACAGACTATCAGCTACTCATAGGCAAGTTCAAACGGAAGCTAAGTAAAATTAAATCAAATCCACAGGAACCAAAGTTTGACCTTGAGTTTATCCCACCTGAATTTAATGACCATCTCAGGAACAGGTTTTAGGCTTTGAACACTTATGAGCGAAGAGCAGATGAGCTGTGGGAGGATGTCAAGAATATCATCCATGAGGAGACAGAGGAAGAAGACCAAGGTGGATGTCAGAAGAGACTCTGATGAGGATAGGCAGGTGGGTAATCATAGGGTTGCACAATTTGATGTATGGAGGGAGGGGTGAGTAAAGGAAATGGGAAAGATCCAGTGTGAAAAACAATGTGTATGAACTGTGTAAGTAAATTAGTATAAAATAAAATTTTTAATAAAAAATAGAGACTCTAGAGTGCTGAAAAGCCAAAGCAGAGGGAAGAAATCAGGAAATTAAGGAGCTGAATAGAAGATTTCAAAGGGCAGCTTGGAAAGACAAAGCAAAGTATTATATATAAGGAAATGTGTAAAGAACTGGAGTCAGAAAATCAAAAGGGGTGAACTTGCTGAAGAAATTGAAGAATAAATTCAAGCTTTGCATTATAGTACTTAAGGATGTTATGGGCAGAATGTTGAATGATCTAGGAAGCATTAAAAACATTAAAAGAAGATAGGGTCTCTGTACCAAAAAAAGAATTGGCTGACACAGAAAAATTTCATGAAACAGCATATGATCATGAGGTGATGAAGGAAGAAGTTCAAGTAGCTCTAAGGAATTGGCAAAAAACAAAGCCCCAGGAATTGATCAGATACCAGTTGACATATTCAGACAAATCGATGCAGCCCCAGATGTGCTCACTAGGTTGTGCCAAGAAATCTGGAGGACAACCACTAGGTCAGCTGACTGGAAGTGATCCATATTTATTGCCATTGCCAAAAACAAGGTGATCCAACAGAGAGTGGAAATTATTGAACAATATCACTAATATCACACACAAGCACGATCCTACTGAAGATTATCTAAAAATGATTGGAACAGTACATTAACAATGAACTGCCAGATGTGCAAGCAGGGATTAGAAGAGGCTGTGATACCAGGGACCTTATAGTCAATGTCAGATGGATCTTAGCAGAAAACACTATCAGAACAGTGTCTTTCTGTGTTTCATTGACTATGCAGAGATATTTGTGTGTATCCCAACAAATATTGCCTAACTCTGAGAATGGGAATCCCAGAACACCTAATTGTGCTTATGCAAACCTATACTTTGACCATGAAGCAGTTGTCAGAAAAGAGCAAGGAAATACTTCATGGTTCAAAATAAGAAAAGGCATATGTCAGATATATCTTCTATCTTTATAACTTTTTGATCTATATGCAGAATAGATCATTCTTGGAGGCTGGACTTTATGAGGTGGAATGTGGCATTAGGATTGGAGGAAGATTCAGTAATAACCTGCTTTATGCAGATGACAACCTTGCTTGCTAGAAGCTGATGCATTTGCTGCAGAAAGTCAAAGATACAGCCTTCATATGGATTGAAGCTCAACATCAAGAAAACAAAGATTCTGGGTCAGTTGGCAGCATCATGATAAATGGGAGAGAGATTGAGATTGTTAACAGCTTCAACTTGGTTGGCTTCACAATCAGCACTCTTGGTACCAGCAGACAGGAAATCAAAAGATGAATTGCATTGGGAAAATCTGTTGTCAAATACCTCTCCAGAGTACTGAAGAATAATGATGTCAGTCTGGAGACTAAGGTGCACCTGATCCAGGCCATGGTCTTTGCAATTACTTGCTATTCATCAGAGAGCTGGACAATGACTAAGGATGATAGAAGGAGAATCGAGTTGTGGTCCTGCAGATGAGTATTGAGTATCCCATGAACCATTCTGTCCTGGAGAGGGTAAAACCAGGCTGCTCCTTAGAAATAAGGATTTTGAAGCTCCATCTCACATATTTTGAGTATGTTGCAAGGAGGGACCAGTCCTAGGAGAGAGACGTCATGCATGGAAGGATGGAGGGACAGTGCAAGAGAAGACCTTGAATGACATGGATTGACTTAGTGACTGGAGTAATGGGGGCAGGTTTATCATAGACAGTGAAATTGTCTTAAGATAGAGTAGAATTCACAGCTATTGTACATAGTGTTGCTATGAGTTGTACCTGACTCAACAACATAACAAAACAAGAAAATCATTCAAGGTTTTGTCCATAGCATCCTCCAGCATTCCAACTTTGAATTTGTTCTTTGCTTCTCTTAACTTGAGAAATAATGGCAGGCTGTTGTTGTTGTTGTTGTTGTTATGTGCTGTAGAGTCGCTTGCGACTCATAGCAACCCTATGTACAACAGCCCAAAACTCTGCTCTGTCCTGTGCCAATTGCACTGTCTCTGACACTCCCATCCACATTATCCCAGTCCACCTCATAGAGGGCCTTCCCCTCCTGCGCCGTCCCTCCACTCTCCGAAGCATGATGTCCTTCTCCAAGGACCGGTCTCTTCTCACAACATGTCCAAAGTATGTTAGACGGAGCCTCAAAATTCTTGCCTCCAAGGAGCCACCCGGTTTAACCTTTTCCAGGACGAATCTGTTTGTTTTGCTAGCAGTCCATGGTATTCTCAATACTCTTCTCCAGCACCACAGCTCAAAGGCATCAATTCTCCTTCTATCCTCCTTGGTCATT